GCTGGGGCAGGAGATGATGGTGACGGGGTCCGGCTCTGGGAGGAGGGGACAAGAGGGCTCAGTAGGTGCCAGCCAAGATGGTGTTCCCTCCCTCCCCCGCTTCACCGCCAGAGATGACAATTCCTTCCCTTCCCCAAACCCAAATACTTCTTCATCCCTCCCTTTCTAACTTCCCAAAGGGACTACCAACAGGTCCCACCAAACTACAACTCCCATGAGTGCTCTGACTCTCTGGATCACTGCAGCTCATACAGTCAGGGCCCCATGGCCTGATGGGATTTGTAGTCCACTCACTTCTCATCACCCACAAACTCCTCCACCCCCCCCAAAAAACAGGTAAAAGGGGGCTCATCTCACTTGTGGATGCGCGGAGGCTCTGTGTGGAACCGGCTACGTTGCTCCTCTCCGCCCACACGCTGAAGTTGTATGAAGTCCCGGGTTCCAGGCCCTTCACCACATACCAAGTCTCTTTGGTCCTGGCTATCTGGTCGACCTGGTGTCCTTGGGGGTGTCCTTCCCTCTGGGGAGCTCCCACACCGGCCCACTGGACACAGTACATGTAGAGCTTAGAGTAGTGGTCTGCGGGGGCCTCCCACCGCAGGGCGATTGAGTTGTTGGTCTGAGTTCCCTTCCGCAGATCTGTGACCTTGTTGGGAGCTGAGAATTGAGACAGACAACTCAAGGTGCAGATCCCCAAGACCCCTCACACTGAGTCTGCTCACCTCCCCTTCCCTGCAGGTGCCCCAACCATCGGATTGCATACTTCCGAAGAGGTGGGGACCACGGTCGCTGGGTCCTCTCTGTCCTAAGTCCACATACCTGGGTCCCACTCACCACCCTTCCACACACAACCAGTTCCTAGATGTTTCTGTTGACTTCAGTCTTCTCAGCCTAAATGGCCAAAGACTGAAGAGTTCCGGGTCCCGTGCATCAGCAGGGCACCTAGTCCCTGGGGTCATTCTGTTGCCTGTCACTATCGGGACCCACACCTTCCGGCTAAGAGGCGGGCCCTCTTTGGACCCAACAGTTCAACAGGACAAGGTGTGGGTGCCTGTCTAGCTCAGCGGTTCTCAACCTGTGGGTCGCAACCCCTTTGGCGGTCGAACGGCACTTTCACAGGGGTCGCCTAAGACCATCCTGCATATCAAAAATTTACATGACGATTCGTAACAGTTGCAACATTACAATTATGGAGTAGCAACAGAAATAATTGTATGGTTGGGTCACAACGTGAGGAACTGTATTTAAAGGGCCAGAAGGTTGAGAACCACTGGTCTAGCTGGTGACTGTACTGATTCCTTGACAGCGATGGGCTCTCTTCGTCCCAAAGACGGACGCTCCAATTGGAAAACCCGGATTGCTGAGGACAGACACCCCCTGGAAGGCAGAACTACAGGCTCAAGGTCTGATGAGGCCGGTGAGGGGTCGCTGAGCACAGTTCGTCTCCCAGGAACCTTGCGCCATGCCCCCATCACTCTCCCCACACCCCAGTATGCTGGGCCCGGGCCTAGACGGGTCTCACCTGTGGTCCCCGTGCAGGTCACTTTGCTGCTGCTGACCCCGTTCCTCTGCGCCCACACGGTGAAGGTGTACAGGGTCCCAGCTTGCATTCCGATCACTGTGATCCTGGTATCCGAGGTGCTCTGGGTCCCCGTGGCAACCCCGCCCTCCATGGTCCAGGAGACCCAGTAGGTGTAGGGAGGGTGCTTCGGGCCCTCGGGAGCTGTCCAGCTCAGGGTGATGGAGCTGGTGGTCTGACTCTCCACGGTCAGGTCCCTGACAGGGTTGGGGCCTGAGGAGGGGACAGGAGGGG